CTCTGTCTGTCTGTCTGTCTGTCTGTCTGTCTGTTACGCTTTCCCGCTTAAACCTCGCAACCGATTTTGATGAAATTTGGCATAGAGATAGTTTGAGTCCCGGGAAAGAACATAGGATAGTTTTTATCCCGGTTTTTGAAACAGGGACGCGCGCGATAAAGTTTTTCTGTGACAGACAAAATTCCACGCGGGCGAAGCCGCGGGCGGAAAGCTAGTTTTTACATAAATTAATCTATAACTTCTTACTTAATGCAACACATTTCGTAGGCCTATACATTTTTCTTGTAATCTTTTCAATGATTGTGCCGTAGTAGCGCAATGCGTGAAGTGCGTATCTTGATCGTTGAGTGATATCCACTTGAGCTGTAAGCCAGACGTAAGTAGCTATCTAAAAGGCCATTGCCACTTGAAATATTGGCACACTGCTCATTGCGTTATTATCACTGTCTGAGGTAGGTATGACAGAGGACATCTCTTATCAGAGGTCCTGGCTTCGATTCCCAAATGAAAAAGAAACTTTCCGTTTAACTTCGGTTAGGACATTACAATCTTGAATGAATCAGATTGTTGTAGGTAGGTATTTAGGTAATAAATAAAAAATAATAATTTATTTAGTTTGTAAATAATATTTAGTTTAATTCACTAAAAGTATCACAGCTACGAATTAAAATTAATAATTCAAAATATGTAGTCACAATAACTGTTTCATGTTATTATACAATAAAATATTTTATTTTTTCGATTTTCCGTAAAAGCCTAGAAAAACTTTAATATACGTATTGGTTTGTTTAAAAATGCTTATAATAGGTAAATTAAGATAAACAATCATAACTTAAGACTGTGCTAATTTAATTTTACGGGTAGCTCTTACAACCGAACGAACTTTTTCAAATCAACCTTCAAAGACTGACAGCAAAAAGAAAAAGTCGGAGCGCGATTTATTTTCTGTGAAAATGTCAACGCTGCGGACGGTACTCGCGAATAAAGCTGATATTGAAATCGTAATCTTGGAGGCAAACGGCTGATACTGGCCGTCGGAGCAGCCACTACCGCTGACACCGCGCCGCCGCGCAGTCGCCATGACCAAAACCAAGGACTCCGTGGACCTGGACTCCATCCTGGCCGAGCTGGGCCAGTTCGGACGCTACCAGATCCAGAACTACTGCTTCATCCTGCTGCCGATCATGTTCAGTGCTGTGTACAATGGACAGTACATCTTTGCGGCTGCCAACATGGATTACAGGTACCGTTTTTGATTGTTTTGATTCGAAAGTGATTTTTGACTCGGATTTGATAAGCTATTCAGGCGTTTAGGGATGCAAATTAAAGCCATAGATGTTCGTTAGAAACAGAAATAAATAACAATTGCATGAACCTTTTTATGTAACTTAGGTACACTAATCTATTCCAAAACATGAAATCTGTTGGTACAATAACATATTTCTTAGATACATACTTATTTAAAACACGATTCGACAGGGTATGTTGTGGTAATCAAAGTAAAAAACTAAATTGAATTAATATATTATTACTTATTGATTGATAAAATCGTCGAAATTCTTGTGAGGATTAGTATTGACCTAATGTATTCAGTACGATTAGTGCAACTGGTGATAACCGAGATAGCTTTCGTAATCTGCAAGTGGCGGACTTAATTATTGCTGACAACACTCAATACATTAATATGTATGTCATCGATCATCCAAATCCCGGAACTAAGAACGAACATTGTGAGAAGTAAGTTGTCTATCTACTTCTAAAAATATACTAGTGTTGTAAAGAGGTAGGTATAGTTTGAACTGATAGACAAATTTAAATCAAGTAAATGTACTAAAAAAGGTATTATAAACTATCACGGAGGGACTAAACCGTTTCAATACCTACTCCTGATTTCCGTTCAGAAAGCCGATAAACCCATATAGGTACTTAGGTGTAAATTTTAGTTTTGTCAGCCTTGTTTACAAGATTATCAATTTCTTGGCTAGACTCGCGCGGGCAATATTGTTCGTTTCTCTGCATTCGTACCTACTATGTTTGTGGCTGAACATCCCTAGAAGTATTGACTATCTGGTCACGAGCGCGACAATCCACATCAATGAGGCTCGCTAAAAAGGAGACAGTACTGTTACTGTATGGTATTCCATAGCAAGGTTTGTTGTTTGACTACCAATACAAATTATTATGAGGTGAATCTGATGGGTATCTAATTACCTACTAACTTAGGCCCAGAACAGACGGTGAAACGCAACTGCAACGAAACTGCAACTTTGTGATGATTCTGATGAATGAAACTGAAACTGAAAGTTTCAAACTGGTTGCGTCATGTGTCATGGTCTCTCAACGGACGCTATGGCAGAAACTTAGATGCAACTCAAAAGTAACTAGTAGTTGCAGTTTCGTTGCAGTTGCGTTTCACCGTCTGTTCTGGGCCTTACTTACTAATTATTTTTCTTGCAAAGAAATACGATGACTGGGATAATGATGTAGGAAATGTGCAACCATAATTTGTGAAGTTACGAATATTCATTCATATTTCAATCCACGAAGGAGAAACGGGGTATAACCGCGGGTAACATGAAAATAACGAATTTACCATCGCACCTATGTAACATGTAACGAATCGAAAGTAAACAAACAAACAGCAGCCTTGTATATGGACTGGCCTTATTGTCTGCGCAAATTATTATCATAGATTAAATAATAATTGTAACAGTAATAAGTGACTATAGGTAAGTACTTCGGGTGTTAATGTCCATGCTCATCACACGTTTGCCCTGGGCTCTGATATGGTTTGTAGTCCGATGTGCGAACCACCAGGGGCAGTCTTCCAATTCCAAAGGCCGTCGCGTCGCACATCGTCATTTCAGCATTGATAACGACGATTATTTCTATGTAACGAATTTGGCGTATCGTTAGCCGTTACTTAGGCACTATGTTAGGAAACTGTTTGTCACAAAAGGTATTATTATTATCATCGCTGATTTATTGACATTGATAAAGCAATTAATTAAACACGTTTTCTCATTTCCCGACTGAACTTTAATTGGCTTTAATGGAAAATTATTATGAATTTGTACATTGTTACTTTACTGATTTACTCTATTGTTTACTTGTCTTATACTTTATTACTATCATAGTTTCTCATATTTTATAACAATATTTAATCAAATAAAACCATAAATTGCTTAAAACAACCTCATTGACGTAATACTCTGTATGTCTGTATGTAATTTTCCAGGATAATTTATGTTGTATTAAAAAATAAATTACATTTTAGTAGGGTAGAATATAATGTGGAAAATTCATGTTACAAACATTTTCGCACGGCAAAGTCATTGTAGTTACAGTCTCGGCCATGAAAAAATAGATGTTCCAAGTAAAATAGCATGCCAGTATCAAGGTTGGTCATAAAATGTACCTACCGTCATCTGAATATACCTTTAGAGTAGGCGCACACCGTTGATTTTTAGTTGGTCGATAGTTGTGCCCGATTTTAAATTGTATGAAGAATCGGCCAAATCGACTCGGCGTAGTGTGCGCACTTCCATACATGCCCATACTGATCAACTGCCCGACTAAACTATCGGCCGACGAAAAATCAACGGTGTGCGCCTACTCTTACTTTTGTAACAGCATGGACAAACTAGTATCTTCCATCCTCGGTCAATAAAGTTATCAATTCTTCAATGAAGTTTTCATGCAAATTCACGATTAGTACACACAAGACTTCGATCCGATTAACTTAATCAACGAGCTGATAAGGTCAATCCATATCGATTAAAATAGGATTATGAGATCCGTTCATTGGTCTTGTTAGAGTTAATTTTATCAATGACGTTTACATTCAAATTGATTTTCAACGGCTACCTTTATTATTAAGATCCATATATAAGAGTGACAGAGGCCTTGGATGAGAATGAGTTCAGCAGCATCTTTCAGTTAGATTCTCGAACGATCAATCAAAATCAAAATCAAAATCAAAATCACAAATATTTATTCAGTTTAGACCACAAGTGGCACTTATGAACGTCAACGTCAAACGTCAATATTAGTGGGGTAGCTGAAAATGTTGCGCTACAGGTTTCAGCAGACAGGACTGATGCTATGTAGAGCTCTAAATAAAATGCCTAGATCCTCAGATCAAACACAGGCTTTAGTTAATTAACAACCTACTTCGGTATCCATCCTAAGAACTAGAGATGAAACGGATATCCGGTAACTATCCGGTAGGCCGGATATCCGGCCTAAATTTACTATCCGGCCGGATACCGGATAGTAACTCACTATCCGGCCGGATACCGGATATNAAATATTAGTGGGGTAGCTGAAAATGTCGCGCTACAGGTTTCAGCAGACAGGACTGATGCTATGTAGACCTCTAAATAAAATGCCTAGATCCTCAGATCAAACACAGGCTTTAGTTAATGAACAACCCACTTCGGTATCCATCCTAAGAACTCATGGTTTTGCTTAAAAATTTTCCGCTGCTTGCCTTATATTAGCTCAATTCGATTTAATTAACATTTTTGAGCCATAAAAAATGTTGACTCTGCTGAATTGAAAGCCTCCTGAATGATGACTCGAAAGAAGTGCTTTGTTAAAATTACCTATACTTTTTTAAGTGTTAAAACGATTAATTGAAAAACTTGAAACTTTTTATCGGCTCGTTACGCGTGGCTACTTCAGGAGCAATTACCTTAGATAATCTGTTACAATTTTATTTTTATTTTACTTGGGAAGTAAGTATCTAATGGTTTTTGTTTGCAATAATCGTTATTATTCTTATTGCTGTGTAATTTTATTTCAACGATAAGTATAATATACCTAAGTAAATAAAATTACCTATCTTGACACATTTTAAAATAATAATTGCATAAACTAGGTAGACACCTACTTACTTGGTAGATTTTGAATATGATTTTTTATGGGTAATGGAGGAAAAATTTAACACGAAACGTCTAGGAAAACTACGGGTGATAGTTAAAAGGTTCTTCTTGTCTAGTTTTTTCCTGTTTCATTAAAGTTGCGGCAGACGCACCGCAGCCGCTTCCTTCCTTGTGAGATTCGTCGCCGGCTGGCATCGTCGCCGGCTGGCATTGGCCTTGCCGCCTTATTAGTGTTAAAACTAGACTAAGATCTCGTTTGTATCGATGCAGTGGGGCCATTGCGTCGGCGGGTCATGCTCAGTGCAAGTGAATGGAACAGTTTGCTTTTTTCAGTCAAGATTTTCATGTAAAATATTCCGTAAATAAAAATAAGCTCTGCCTGATTAAGTGTATCGCACGCCCCGTGCCAGAGTGCCAAGTTTTTTTTGTTTAGCAAAATCTAGTTAGTACTTATCTATCAGAGCTGATTCATTTTATTTTATTTAGGTATAGTACACAGCTCAATATCAGATTGGAATACAATATGTTTTTTAAAATATTTTTTACATAGGCAGCATTGTAAATTATTTTTACCTCCTGTACCTAATTCTTACATTTAACAATCTCGTTCAGGTCCTAGCAACGTGGTTCCAATAGCCCACATGCTTGGACCTAGCAATTCAATCTTATACTTCAATTAGTTACTTGTTGTAATTGCAAGTTTTATTACACGGTTTACCAATTGAATATCCGCGATTTTAATGTCGGCAAGTCGCACGGCATCAGTTCCAAGATTGCTGTCACTAACGACCAGCATCCTGCTCTAATGTGGCAAACCAAGGAATTACGAAACCAGCGGTTCCTGTTGTTGTCCCTGATTGCGAGACGGTCTGGAATATACGAGTAGGTAGGTACCTATGTCGCTCTTTTGGGGCCTTACCTACGTTGTAAATAAGTAGGTTCATTACCTACAATTTAATACCCCTGTTAGCACCTCCAAGTTGTAACTTAAAGTGGGCTCCACCACATTAGCTTATGGATGTATAGTCCAGTCATTTGGTAGTTTTACCTGGAATGTTTTCCGGAAGTAATGAAAAACTTTCCAGGTAAAGCCATCATTTTGTACCAAATGACTGGACTATTAATCACATAAATAATTTTGGCCAGCCTATCAAACGAAGTAAGATGAATTTTGCGTAAGCTATGAATTAGATCGTTAATTATAAAATAAAATTTATTTATACATAGAACTTAATAAATGTTGTTGAAGTTGCTGTAGTGCTTTTGAAATGTTTTCAGAATTGTTATTTAAACAGAAGGTTTAATTTAAAATAAGTGTTTCTAAAAGACTACTTACGTTGAATTTTTAAAGTAATTTTCCTCTCTAAGAAGGTGACTCGTTACCATAAATGCACCATTGCTGTGATAAAAACAACATTTCCTTATGTTTTGAATATTAAAATCTCGCTCAGTCTTAAATTGTTGCAAAAAAACACTAGTTTAAATTGTATTATTAAAAAAAACACTAGTTTAATTTACCTGTCTTGACAAAGTTATTAGACTACTTGTAAAACTAGAGGTACATTATTATATAGGTATAATTTAGTTACGTATCGCATTTTATGAAACAAAAATACATGAAAAAGCTAGGGTGGCAAACAGGTTTTTGTATGAAAGGTAAAAAAGGACTATTTTTAAAATATCTAAATATTTGGTAATAAGTAGGATTATAGCTATAATTCTTCGTTATCTTAAAGATTAATAGTCATCCTTCAAAATTGTGTGTGTTTTTTTTGTGTGATGATTTATAAATATAAAACTTTTGAACTGTTTCAAAGCACACTTTTTTTTTTCAAAATGTACATTTTTTTTGAGAAATACTCATTACTTACTTTGTTTATTTATTATTAACCAACTATAAATAAATCAATTAACTAACTGCCAAATTGGATACGCAAAAATAATAGTATGTACTACATCCGACTAATACATATTATGTGTTGTTAATTACACCCTTTACCCACAAATAAAATAAAAACAGTACAAAATGTACCGCACATAATCAGAATTACCTACATAATAATATTAATTTGAGAGTTCAGGTACACAAAATGAAGTAGCTACAGTAAAACTGGTGCATTTGTTACCAGATGCAAGGTGCCCGAGTGCGAGGCGTCCCCGCCCCAGCTGTCCACCAACGGCTGGGGCGTGTGGGCGCTGCCCGAGGGCGGCGGCCGCTGCGAGCGCCTCAAGCCCCTCGGGGAATCCTGCAGCCCCGACTCCTTCCACGTCAACCAGACCGTCGCCTGCAACGCCTGGGTGTACGAGAGCACGAATACCATCGTTGGCGAGGTGAGTGTATAGGAACATGAAGAGGTGAAGAACATTCATACACATTATGGTTTGCTTGAGCCTTACGTCTTATGGTGCGTCCATATTGGGCGAACGGCCTCGCGCGGCACGCTGGTCATCCTACTCACCCTGCTCTTGAGTGAGCAGGATGTCGAGTTTGCCGCGCGAGCCCGTCGCCCAGTGTAGACGCACCATTACGTGAATGCTCCCGATTTGTGTCCGTCTATCATCAAATACTTATCTCGTCTCGATTTAAGTATTGATAGTATCAAATGTGTCACAATGTGCATTGTATAATGTGCAAGAAATAAAAGAGAGTTCTTTCTAATTAATTACTACTTTCATCGAATGGGATCACAGGTCGAGTCCTTGAAAGAACACATTGCGTTTAGTAATTGCATATTTAATTACTTTAAAGTACCACTCACTGTTAACTAAGCTGTTGTATATTGCGTTTCAATTGGATTTATTGATTACAACCACCACATGAGTAATTTTGATAAATTATATTCTCTGTGTTTCAAGATTAGTTTTATCGAAGAAAGGTAGATTATAGACAGAGATTATATTTTCAAGTTTTAACTGATTGATCACCTTTCAGTTTTTAAAATACTTATAGCAACTTGCTTAAATGATATTTACGAGTAAAACCATAAATATTATTGCCTGCCTTATCAGTAGGTATGCTTTTTCCTGTGTGAATTTGTAAGAGCTCTAAACAGGCCTTTCAAAAGATGCCTAAACTCATAATTTACTCGTTAGTTGAAGCCCATGGGCCTCTATGAAACTAAATGAAAATAGACGCTTGCTCGGAATTCTGCTATTTAGCTGCGCAGTGCGCCGCACATGAAAGTAATTATTCTTCATCGTCTTCGAGTATTGCTTGATTTTTCATAGATAATAAAACAATAACAGTATGTTTTTAGTGATTTTATTAAACCGACTGCACTATAAAATATTATGCCGTTGCAATAACCATCGAAGAGGGATTAGCAGCACTACCAAATATACGAAGATAAGGGTTAATGAAGACACTTCGTATAAAGCCCTAAACCGATAGAACAAAATAATGATGCTTTGATGACAGAATGATTAATTAAAGAGTCAGGGATTAGGCGTTGTTATAATATACAGGGTGTCCCAAAAACAATGGATAACCCTGTAACCATCGATAGGCCTCGCCATGATCTCCCTCACGTCCATTTTTGACCCCAGTAAAAATATCACCGATTTCAAGATTTTTAAGTTTTTGTGCATTTTTAGAAAATTGCCACCTGCGATTACTTTTTCTCATGCCATTTCTACAAATGAGGATACTTTTCAATCTAGTTTTTTTCTTTATCACAAGGGATAGTTGGGCTATCAAAAGAAAAGATCAAAGTTCAACAAACTAGTTTGAAAGTATGAAAATTTTAAGAAATTGCAGAAGAGAAGAAAAAATTAATTCATTGTCTTGCACTTTTGATCACCCATCGTGTAAAAAAAATGTAGGAAGACCATCGTTCCCATTACCTTAAAAACTTCCTTGGTTAATTGAGATTCTGAAAAGGTATCACAAGCCTATGTATACTGTATTATTTTTATCTTATGGCTACTTGAATAGCAACTAGTATGAAAACTGCAAAAATGAGTTTTTCTCGTAATAGTTAAACTAGGACTGCATAGTGGCATTAAATACAAATGGATACTTTTTAGCGTAGGAATTTTAATAAAGCAACATTTTATCATCATCATCATCATCATTTCAGCCGTAGGACGTCCACTGCTGAACATAGGCCTGTACCCCAATGATTTTCATAATGACCGCTTGGTAGCGGCCTGTATACAGCACCTTCCTGCTTATCTTTATGAGGTCGTCGGTCCACTTTGTAGGTGGACGTCCTACGATGCGCTCTCCGGTACGTAGCCTCCACTTGAACCCTGCTTAGGGAGTCACCTTCAGAAATCCGCCGATGCAGCGATGGCTCACCAATTTTATTCGAGCAAAAGTCCTCTCACATTATTTACCAACAGCGCAAGAGTCAGAAATCTTAGGGATCCCTTAGTACGATTCCAGAAAAAAAAGTCTAATAAGTTTTTACTGGTGATATGTTTCAGTTTGATATGGCGTGCCAAGAATGGCGGCGGACCTTGGTAGGCACGATCCACAGCGTAGGCCTCTTCGCCGCTCTGCCCCTCACAGCCTACGTTTCTGACACGTAAGTTGATTCATATTCAAGTATAATTCATAAATTCACATCATGGGACGACCCGATTCATTGACTACTTGGATATAATTCCTACGCAAGCTAGATCAAGCAGCCATAGAATTTTTCTAGGAATTTGATGTGTTTTTATAATTAGGGGTGGCGCCTAGTAGTGAGCCTCAACAGTAAGGCGATTATCATACTGCACCGCGCTCCGCCGCGGTCCGCGTGGCGACATATAACGAATAACGAATCCCGCGCGCAAACGCGTTGTTAGTGTGTTGTGCCGCGCGTGTTTTCTACACAAACTGAGGTACTTGCATACACTGATTAAATCTGTCTTCCCGCGCACCGCGGCGGAGCTCGGTGCAGTGTGATAATCGCCGAATGTTATTGTAACAAGTGGAATGGGCTCTCTTCGTAATTTTCATAAAATCATAATAAAATTTTCAGCTGGGGTCGTCGCACAGCGTTTGTACTCACCGCAGTGTCGGCGGGCGTCATGGGGCTGATCCGGTCGTTCTCGACCAACTACATCACGTACCTGGTCTTCGAGTTCCTCGACCCTATGCTGGGGTCTGGGGTCTACAGCAGTGGCTTTATTCTTGGTATGTTCACAAGCTGTCAACGAAGCTCTTAGCTAAAGTACGGCGAACTAGCAGCGATACAAAAGGTCGATTCGACTGTCGAACTGACAATCTATTCTGTGTCTTCTCGTCTTGTGTATTTGTCGTAATGTCTCGTTCTCCCGCCAAAATATGTCATGTCAAAGTGAAACCCTTAGGCTGGGTTGCACCATCTTACTTTAACTTTGACAAACGTCAAAAATCTGTCAAATTCCATACAAAAATCACCGGTTATCGTCATGTTACCGTTAAAGATAGGTGGTGCAACCCACCCCTACTATTCAAACTGACCATGACATTGGGTTTGTTTACATTTGGTATCGCTTCTCGTTTGGCCGTACTTTAGACTACAATATTGATCAATATTTTTTTAATTAGAAAAATATTTTATATTTTTCTCTTTTTATTTCTAGCTCTTGAAATGGTTGGTCTCAACAGGCGAGTTCTCGGAGGAAACATCATCTCATGTTCCTTCGCTCTGGGTCAAGTATCCCTAGCGCTGGTCGCTTGGGGCATCCCCTACTGGCGGACCCTCACAAGGGTTCTTTATGCACCTTCTCTACTCTTTATATTCTACTTCTTTGTCATCGAGGAAAGTGTAAGGTGGCTACTCAGCAAGGGTAACAAGAAAGAAGCTGCCCGAATCATTTTCAAAGCAGCCAAAATTAATAAGAAAAAGTTATCACCTGAATCTATAAAACAGTTAACGGAAGAGCCTCACCAGGAGGATTCTAAGCCGACTCACACAGAAATACACCCAATCGCACCTGAGAAGAAGGAAAGGTCTTTAACGATGCAAGTGCTGAGATCTAGAATCATGTTGTCTCGGATATTCATTTGCTCGTTCTGGTGGATCACCGTGACGTTCATCTACTACGGGCTGTCCATCAACTCGGTGTCGCTGGCCGGCAACATGTACGTGAACTACATCCTCACGTGCCTGGTGGAGATCCCGGGCTACTGCATCAGCGTCATCACGCTGGACCGCTTCGGTCGGAAGGGCTCCATCATGACAGCGTTCTTCATTTGCGGGATTTCACTCGTCTCACTGCCGTTTGTGCCAGCCGGTAAGTGTATAGTTACTTCTTTGTATTTAGATTTTGCCTTTATTACATAATTACCATTAGTAGACACACTAAAGTTAACACACAAGTAAAGTAAGATAGCCAGTTCCTCCGTGGTTGAGGATTTCGGGTGAAGCTCGCTTCCACCTTCGGCCTGATTGTCACTTACCATCAGGTGAGATACAGGCCAAGAGCTTCCTCGTTGTGGATAACAAAAATACATGTATGCCTGTAGAAAATATGTAGTACATTACAAAGTTCATTACGTAGTTGACTGATAAAAAAATATCGCTAGTCTTAGCTCCATGTAGACGTAGCGTTGCATTCCAGGTCTAGCCTGGCTGCTGACGTCGCTGAACATGCTGGGCAAGCTGTGCATCAGCATGGCCTTCAGCAGCATCTACATCTACACGTCGGAGCTGTTCCCCACGGCCGCGCGCCACCGCCTGCTGGGGCTGTGCTCCATGGTCGGCAGGGTGGGCTCGATCGTTGCGCCGCAAACGCCACTGCTGGTCAGTACAATATTTGGAATACTCACGCAATATACCGTCATAACGCCACTGCTGGTCAGTACAATATTTGGAATACTCACGCAATATACCGTCATAACGCCACTGCTGGTCAGTACAATATTTGGAATACTCACGCAATATACCGTCGTAACGCCACTGCTGGTCAGTACAATATTTGGAATACTCACGCAATATACCGCCATAACGCCACTGCTGGTCAGTACAATATTTGGAATACTCACGCAAAATACCGTCATAACGCCACTGCTGGTCAGTACAATATTTTGAAAACTCCCCCAGTATATTCATTGGACCTCCTTTTACAAAAGCTCTTAGGTACTGCAGAAGTTGAAGAAAGAACAGGTTTGGAAAAAAATGGATTCATGAGTCTTAACTGTTGCCTTACTAGATGGTAACGTAATAAATATAGATAGGTAAGTAACTGTCTAAAATTGAGGGTAGATACTAAAGTCAATCAATTTCTAAGCAAAGTTGTGCTGATATTCTTAAATGAAAGTCATTTATAATAGGAGAAGACCTGCGTGACGATAGAACAATATTTCTAGAAAATTTCAACCATTCATATTGACGACCTTTCTAAAAAAAATGTATTACCAGGAGTGGCGAAGTATTCAAATTCTTTATAAGCGTAGGCTTATTCCCAAAATAGCCCCGCCACCACTTCGGGTTTACATATTGGCTAGTCCTGAGAAGAAGAAAAACTCAGTATTGAAAGGCTTACAGCCTCACCGTTGCAGGCTGGTTCACGCTGGCGCTGCCGCTGCTGGGCAAGGCCACGATCAGCATGGTGTTCTGCTCGGTGTACATCTACACCATCGAGCTGGTGCCCACGCGCGGACGCCACTCGCTCATGGGGCTGTGCTCGATGTTCGGCCGCATCGGCAACGCGCTGGCGCCGCTCACCCCCATGTTGGTTGGTCGGTTAGTTCGTGTAGCCAGAATAGTGCTCTTGTAGAGTAGAAATTGGTCTTTAGAGTCGACAGAAACTGTGATGGTATTGGTTACCATCAATGGCGTAGGAGTACCCTCCTACGCTGTTCTTGCTAGATAATAATGTTTTAGTTTTGCGTGCTTCTTATGCAGACGTCAACGAATGGTAGTTTTTATTATGGTTTGTTTTATTTTTGTTATTTTAGTTTGAAAACAATGATGTAGTTTTCTAGTCTATAGGTAATTCCGTTAAGTAGATATTTTATTAAATCTGATTATTTTATTAATGTAAAACATCGTATTTCTATATCTCTCTCTCTTCTATTGTATATTTTAAGGTGAGTATCTAGAGCATTTACTTGTAACAGAACAACGAGCCGCTCTATGAAATGTTCTAGTATCAGAGTGAGTGTCACCCTTTCACGAACATAACGTTGTACATTTAACCTGTATTTTACCATTCGAAAGAACGTTACATTACACAGAAATTCTCTAATCTATACGCACCGTTGCATATGTATTTCTCCTAAATGGTAACCTTCAACCAATTTGACAGTACGAGTATGTCCCAATTACGTAATTTCAGGGCGATTCATAGTCATCTCTTCATGTAACCAGGTGCTTGAAACCTTTTATTTCTTCCAGATGACCTACATGGAGTCCCTGCCGTACCTGATCTTCGGCATCATGGCGGGCACGTCGGGCGTGCTGATGCTGTTCACGCCGGAGACGCTGCGCATGCGCCTGCCCGACACCGTGCGCCAGGCCGAGGACATCGCCGCCGCGCCGCGCACCAAGCGCCCGACTGACGTCATCGTCGACTGAGCCACACCGCCCTATGTCTGCCGGGCTCAGAACTAAACAGTGTCGCTTTCAACTGAGCTATACCTGTCAATGACTGCCGGGCTCAGAACTAAACAGTAGTGTCGCGGTCAACTCAGCTAAATCAGCTATACCTGTCCAAGTGTCTATATCTGTCGGTCTCAGAACTAAACAGTGTCGCGGTGAACTGAGCTATACCTGTCCATGTTTGCAGGGCTCAGAACTAAACAGTGCCACGGTTGACTGAGCTTTACCTGTCCATGTATGCCGGGCTCAGAACTAAACAGTGTCACGGTCCACTGAGCTATACCTGTCCTTGTTTGCCGGTCTCAGAACTAAACAGTGTCACGGTCAACTGAGCTATACCTGTCCTTGTTTGCCGGTCTCAGAACTAAACAGTGTCGCGGTCGACTGAGCTATTCCTGTCCTTGTTTGCCGGGCTCAGAACTAAACAGTGTCGCGGTCAACTGAGCTATACCTGTCCTTGTTTGACGGGCTCAGAACTAAACAGTAGTGTCGCGGTCAACTCGGCTATACCTGTCCAAGTGTCTATATCTGCCGGTCTCAGAACTAAACAGTGTCGCGGTGAACTGAGCTTTACCTGTCCTTGTCTGCCGGTCTCGGAACTAAACAGTGTCGCTTTCAACTGAGCTATACCTGTCAATGACTGCCGGGCTCAGAACTAAACAGTGTCGCGGTTGACTGAGCAATACCAATCCATGTATGCCGGTCTCAGAACTAAACAGTGTCATGGTCAACTGAGCTATACCTGTCCACGTCTACCGGTCTCGGGACTAAACAGTGCCGCGGTCAACTGAGCTTTGCCTGTCCACGTCTGCTGGTCTCAGAACAAAACAGTGTCACGGTCAACTGAGCTATACTTGTCCACGTCAGCCGGTCTCAGAACTAAACAGTGTCACGATTGACTGAGCTATGTCTGTCCATGTTTGCCGGGCTCAGAACTAAACAGTGTAGCAGTCGACTGAGATATACCAGACCAAGTGTCCATGTCTGCCGGTTTCAGACCTAAACAGTGCCGCAGTCAACTGATATATCCAAGTGTCCATGTCTGCCAGTTTCAGAACTAAACAGTGTCACGGTTGACTGAGCTGCTATCTACATCCATCCAACTCAGTCTCGAACTGTTTTAATGACCCCTATCTATTGCCAATGACTTCCAGTTTCATACGTTTCGTGTCTAAAAAACCCAGTGAATTGCATTTTTACATTGAAGTTCTGCTGTCAATGCTTGAGTTCTGTATTATGAAACGACACTCAAGATTAGATTCAAGATTGATTGACGGATCTATTATACTCTTGATCATTTACACTCCTGAATCAATGATGGAATAATTAAGATTTCCTATATTCTACCCTGGTTATAAATTTATTTTTTAGTGTCGTTTCATTATGAAATGAATGTTCTACATAATTCAAATAAGTTCGCGGTAATGGAAACATACTCTTTATAGAGGATAGAGTAAGCAACAAAGTTTATTTTTGATTATAAATAAAAATAACTACAACTTTAAATGTATTATAGGTATAGGCTTTGTAAATTATAATGAGCTTTTTAATGACCTACGTACGAATGCTGCTGGAAAATTTGTCTAGTATTTAAACATACGTAACCGAGTATCACTTTACAGAAACAATAAACAACAAATACAAATAATTATAATTAGTTATGTGTATTGTGATGTCCTTTTAAGAAATATTTAAACCGAGTTATCTTAGACTTTTCTTTTATTATATTAATAATTTTTAACCAAAGGTGTTTAAGATATAATTTATGTGATATAATTAGTTTATAAATATCATGTATGTATTTTTATAATTTTCCTATATTGATTTCGTTTCTTAACAAAACAGCTTGAATGGATCAGGACAATTGAAATAATAGGGTTTTAAATTAAATCATAACACACATTTTGTGTTACTGATACTAAGAATGTATTACTTGTGTATTTAGCCGTAATTTGAGGCATATAATTTCCAATTGCGCTATAAAATCGTACATATCATACCTATATAACTGAGGTCAAGTGCTTCAAAATACGCTATAAGCGATGTCAGATGACTACCTGAACCTAATTAGACAGCTCCATTTTTTTTGCTTAAAATACTATTTTCATATTTTCATTATCTCTAGGAAGTTTGAAAATCCTTTTTATTTATGAGTGAACGGAAAAATATGCATGATACGGATACGTATGCCAAAGACTGAACGCAGAATGAGTTTATAATAATTGTAATGTTAGATATTTTATAATGTAATAATTTTATAATATGCAAAATATAAGAATCTTATTTCTTCTCAGTGTTTCATTTCAACATACCTACCTAGTTTGTACTAATCAATTGCAATCAACCAACAGGTACGTAGTTTGATTAAAATAACAAAACATTAGGGATTCTTATCACGCAATTATTTTTGATAATAAAATAAAGACATCAACGCGTGGATCAAAATTAAATTTCAAGTTAAAATTTTACTACATCAGAATCTCGAACCATCCCTAGAAACTATTAAGTATTTAAAATAGGTAGGCTATGTATTTTCGTTTTCCGACGATTACCATTTGAGAAAGTAGGTACTGTCTTTTTCTTCTGGCTTCAGCCAACGTAACGGCTACTACGTTTTTTCGAGCGAAAACGTAGTACTAATTACTATTTTAAGCTTGTAGTTTTAACGTATTGAATATTGTTTGTGTTGATTTATCATTATAATGCCACTATAAGTTTAATTGCGTTAAATTTTATTAGATAAACCAGTATCTAATACTTAAATCATAGGTAGGTAGGGACTTATTAAATACTAGCTTTCCGCCCGCGGCTTCGCCCGCGTGGAATTTTGTCTGTCACAGAAAAACTTTATCGCGCGCGTCCCTGTTTCAAAAACCGGGATAAAAACTATCCTATGTTCTTTCCCGGGACTCAAACTATCTCTATGCCAAATTTCATCAAAATCGGTTGCGAGGTTTAAGCGGGAAAGCGTAACAGACAGACAGACAGACAGACAGAGTTACTTTCGCATTTATAATATTATAGTTGGGATACATTAGTTTTTCGGTACAATTAATCAATTATTGTGATTGGAGTAGGTAAGATAATAATATGATCTAAGTATTAGGCATTTGTTTATCGGAGTGTGTATTATTTTGAAAACCAAAGTACAATACCGAACTCAAACTACATATGTCAATGACTGGACAATAGCATCAAATTCCAAGATTTTGAGGTAGGATAGTAAGATAATAGAATTAAAATTTTAGGTACTTTTTCTATTTCCGAACACGGTCTGATATTGCGAACACGGCCCTTAACAATCAGGGTTTGCACTACAAGCACAGATTATATAACAGTAGCAAGCTACAAGGTACTTGCGCTATAGGTTTTCCACTCAAAGACGCCTTCGATGTTTACCCACTGAGTCGCTACCTACCCTCTTAAGTCTAATGGCAGTGTTTGCTATGTAAGAGTACCATTATCTAAAGGGCAGTGTACTAGCACATAATAATAATACTAGGTATAGTACTTGTCATTCGTAATCTGCGGCGCCAACTCGTAGTAGGCACGGTGGACCCCTTCAATGTATTTAATGGGTATGAAGCAAGGGGCTTGCGAGCCCCTGGTTAATCAGTTGGTTCGTATGTATTACTTTGGTTCAATTACGAAAAGACCTCATAAATGGGAGTCTTATAGGCGACCTTGAACATCTTATTCACGAGTTTCAGGGATTTTGCTCATTATACCGCTTGTGATATGGTATCGGTTCTTATCACAAGGATTTACCGGTTCAGTTCATTATTTATTGCTTTATATTACAACTGTCTACAGTATTTTTGCGCACGGGTTATGCATAGCTTATTTTTATTGCTTTGATACCTAGAAATAACAATAACAATAAAAAATTGTTCTGAATTTGCTTTTATCGTATCCCAATGAGAATGTGACGTGCATCTTTATAGACATTCTACTATGAAAATGGAATATTCAAATCGCTATAATTTCTTAAAAAGCAAATATTTTTAATTTGTAATCGCACTTCTTTATACAACACTTCCTATATATATGTTACAGGAAATGTATGAATTCTAGGAATTGTATACTATTCCTAGGAAATGTATACAATTCCGAAGCTATTTAGGAAATGTATAAAATATTGCTTCAGAGATTTTTTAATACGCACATATCCTAGGACATGTATACTTTTCCTAGGAATTTTATAGAATTCCAATATTGTATTAGGAAATGTATAAAACTAAGCGGCACAAGCGCAGTCATGTGATTTGGTGCCCCTCAGTACGCCTAAAATTTTATTTAGACAAACCACATTGACCGATAGGTACTTTTAACTCACAACTATTGTTTAGCCTGAAAGTTGTTTTCGCACTGTTATACTTTGACTGAAAAAAATATTTGCCTATTGGCATACCTTTCTTATACACTCTAGTCTTCAGGCATTGAGGTAATTTGGACGAAAAGATGTTGCGTAGTTTCCCGAACGCTGCCCAGCCGAGTTGGATTCGACGATTGACCTCCTTCTCGAAATTGGACCTACCTAGCTGAATCGTTTGTCCGAGGTAGACATACTTGTCGACAATCTCGAGAATTGAGCTCCCAACTGAAACTGGATAGGGCGTAACATGGACATTCGACATAAGCTTCGTTTTGTCCATGTTCATCCTCAGGCCTACCTGTTGGGAAACTCGATTAAGGTCTTCGAGCATTGTGCCAAGATCTTCCAACGATTCTGCCATGACCACAATATCGTCGGCAAACCGAAGGTGAGTGATGTACTCGCCATTAATGTTTATGCCGAATCCTTTCCATTCCAGGAGTTTGAAAGCGTCTTCCAATGTTACTAGCTTTCCGCCCGCGGCTTCGCCCGCGTGGAATTTTGTCTGTCACAGAAAAACTTTATCGCGCGCGTCCCTGTTTCAAAAACCGGGATAAAAACTATCCTATGTTCTTTCCCGGGACTCAAACTATCTCTATGCCAAATTTCATCAAAATCGGTTGCGAGGTTTAAGCGGGAAAGCGTAACAGACAGACAGACAGACAGACAGAGTTACTTTCGCATTTATAATATTATAGTTGGGATACATTAGTTTTTCGGTACAATTAATCAATTATTGTGATTGGAGTAGGTAAGATAATAATATGATCTAAGTATTAGGCATTTGTTTATCGGAGTGTGTATTATTTTGAAAACCAAAGTACAATACCGAACTCAAACTACATATGTCAATGACTGGACAATAGCATCAAATTCCAAGATTTTGAGGTAGGATAGTAAGATAATAGAATTAAAATTTTAGGTACTTTTTCTATTTCCGAACACGGTCTGATATTGCGAACACGGCCCTTAACAATCAGGGTTTGCACTACAAGCACAGATTATATAACAGTAGCAAGCTACAAGGTACTTGCGCTATAGGTTTTCCACTCAAAGACGCCTTCGATGTTTACCCACTGAGTCGCTACCTACCCTCTTAAGTCTAATGGCAGTGTTTGCTATGTAAGAGTACCATTATCTAAAGGGCAGTGTACTAGCACATAATAATAATACTAGGTATAGTACTTGTCATTCGTAATCTGCGGCGCCAACTCGTAGTAGGCACGGTGGACCCCTTCAATGTATTTAATGGGTATGAAGCAAGGGGCTTGCGAGCCCCTGGTTAATCAGTTGGTTCGTATGTATTACTTTGGTTCAATTACGAAAAGACCTCATAAATGGGAGTCTTATAGGCGACCTTGAACATCTTATTCACGAGTTTCAGGGATTTTGCTCATTATACCGCTTGTGATATGGTATCGGTTCTTATCACAAGGATTTACCGGTTCAGTTCATTATTTATTGCTTTATATTACAACTGTCTACAGTATTTTTGCGCACGGGTTATGCATAGCTTATTTTTATTGCTTTGATACCTAGAAATAACAATAACAATAAAAAATTGTTCTGAATTTGCTTTTATCGTATCCCAATGAGAATGTGACGTGCATCTTTATAGACATTCTACTATGAAAATGGAATATTCAAATCGCTATAATTTCTTAAAAAGCAAATATTTTTAATTTGTAATCGCACTTCTTTATACAACACTTCCTATATATATGTTACAGGAAATGTATGAATTCTAGGAATTGTATACTATTCCTAGGAAATGTATACAATTCCGAAGCTATTTAGGAAATGTATAAAATATTGCTTCAGAGATTTTTTAATACGCACATATCCTAGGACATGTATACTTTTCCTAGGAATTTTATAGAATTCCAATATTGTATTAGGAAATGTATAAAACTAAGCGGCACAAGCGCAGTCATGTGATTTGGTGCCCCTCAGTACGCCTAAAATTTTATTTAGACAAACCACATTGACCGATAGGTACTTTTAACTCACAACTATTGTTTAGCCTGAAAGTTGTTTTCGCACTGTTATACTTTGACTGAAAAAAATATTTGCCTATTGGCATACCTTTCTTATACACTCTAGTCTTCAGGCATTGAGGTAATTTGGACGAAAAGATGTTGCGTAGTTTCCCGAACGCTGCCCAGCCGAGTTGGATTCGACGATTGNTTTGCCTGTCCTTGTCTGCCGGTCTCGGAACTAAACAGTGTCGCGGTCGACTGAGCTATACCTACCCACGTCTGCCGGTCTCAGAACTAAACAGTGTCGCGGTCGACTGAGTTATACCTGTCCAACTGTCCATGTTTGCCGGTCTCAGAACTAAACAGTGTCACGGTCGACTGAGCTATACCAGTCCTTGTTTGACGGGCTCAGAACTAAACAGTGCAGCAGTCGACTGAGATATACCAGACCAAGTATCCATGTCTGCCGGTTTCAGACCTAAACAGTGCTGCAGTCGACTGAGATATCCAAGTGTCCATGTCTGCCAGTTTCAGAACTAAACAGTGTGATGGTTGACTGAGCTGCTTTCTACATCCATTCCACTCAGTATCAAACTGTGTTAATGATCCCTGTCCATTCCCAATGACTTCCAGTTTCATGTGTTTCGTGTCTAAAAAACCCAGTGAATTGCATTTTTACATTGAAGTTCAGCTGTGAATGCTTTAGTTCTGTATTATGAAACGACACGCAAGATTAGATTCAAGATTGTTTGAGAGATCTATTATAATCTCGATCATTTACATTCCTGAATCAATGATGGAATAATTAAGATTTCCTATATTCTACCCTGGTTATAAATTTAATTTTTAGTGTCGTTTCATTATGAAATGAATGTTCTACATAATTCAAATAAGTTCGCGTTAATGGAAACATACTCTTTATAGAGGATAGAGTA